CCACTTTATTACTGGTCAACGAACCGTACACTTGCGGTGATTTTATTCGAAACATATTTTCGTGAACATTAGCCATAAGCTATCAATTGGTATAGAGTGAGGTGTTCATTTTACAAATTAAGATTCCACAATCTTGAGCAATGATTAACTACAATCTTCAAAATCTTGAGGAGCATTCTACTAACCGTCATCCGTTCTTTGATGGCACGCATTATAATTATTGGAAAGCTAGGACGATGATATACATTCAATCAATAGATTACAATATATGAGAATTGATTGAATATGGTCCTTATCTGCCTTCTGAGACTATTAAAATTGATGGCTAACCCGATGAAACCATTCTAAAATCTAGAGAGAAATATGATGAAGATGACAAAAGAAAATTATCCTTAAATGCTAAAGCCAATAATCTATTTTATGGCGCATTTGATAAAAATTTAATCGTATTAGCACTAAATGCTAAAGCCAATAATCTATTTTATGGCGCATTTGATAAAAATTTAATCGTATTAGCACATGTGATTCTGCATATGATATTGGCATGCATTGGAAGTTGTTCATGTAGGCACTAGTAAAGTAAAGGAAACTAAAATTAATCTCTTGGTTAAATAATTTGAAAACTTCTTCATGAAACAAGATGAACCAATTATTTATATAATTATTCACTTCATCGATATTGTTAATGGCCTCAAAGGGTTTGATCTAAATTTTACTAACAGTGAACTGCTAAGTAAAATGCTCAGGTCACTATCGAAAACGTGGAGCTCATTTAAGGATGTTGATAGAAAATACCAAAGATATCAACTCATATCCTATGGAAGAACTTTATTGTACTTTGACGACATATGAGTTCAACGACGCCGAGACTAAAGAGAAAATGAGAGAAGCAAAGAGGAATCAAAGGAGCCTCCTAAGCGCCAAATTGCTCTTAAATTGGCAATCGAGGAAGGAACTACAAGTGAAAATTTGAATGATAAAGAGTTTGATGATTTAGTCATTTTTGTCAAAAAATGAGGAGGTTTTCGAAATAATCGGAGATTCCAAAAGAAAGAAGAAAATGTTGAAAAAAGAAACAAGAAAATCATTTACTATGATTGTGACAAACTCAGTCACAAGAGAAATGAGTGCCCAAACAAGTCCAGAAAAATCAAGAAAAAGGCACTTCAAACAACATGAGATGAAAGCGACGATAATCATCGTGATGGAAATGATAGTAAAGAAGAAATTGTCAGGATGTACTTCATGTCAATTGAAGATGAGGTAAACGCTATTGAAAAATGTTCATATAATGATTTATCTATTTACCTAAAGTAGATCTATGTAGTGAGCAATTTTAGCTATATAACATTTTTTTTTATTAATTTCTCCCCATATATCTGATGTAAAAGATATAACACCAACCACATTTCTTGTAAACTATGTAATTGGTTTTTTTGCCTAACGAAATAATGAACACAATCAGAATGATCGAAGAGTTTTTCTACTTACTCCAATGTACTTTGGATGATGATAATCTTGCACGAATTTTGTAAAATATTTATTGTCCATTATAATTAGCGGCAACTCAACACCAGCAATTAACTTGAACATTTGTTCATGGCGATTTTCTTCCGAATAGATCCATGTGCCTAGTGTAGTAGAATTATAACCAAGAGAAGGAGTACCGAATTGAATTTGTGTTTGTGTTTGGCCAATAAGTTCATGTTTAGCCAAATATTTCTTTTAGTGAGATTAAGGTGGGTAGTTCCGATTCCCTTTTGCCATGCTAATTTTGTTTGACAATATTTGCAAACCGTTTTAGATTCTTGGACTCCATCAACTGTGTGACCTGTGAAAACCAATTTGAAGTTTTCTCAACACTTGGCACTTTGTTAAGATTTTCGCTTTCCTCTTGTATCGAATTTTTTGAGTTCCACTTCTTCATCAATATCATTCCAACCAATTGGATGAGTACCCCACCCATTCACATCATCGACGTCCAAATCGTTGAAAATTGAGATGTTATTGAAATCGAAAAAATCATTATGGAATTGAGATTGTGGTATCAATGGTGAGTTATCACCACCAAACAAATCCTCAATGTAACTATTGTGATCCATATGTATAAAATGAAATTGGAATGTATAAATATGAAATAGAAGTATATAATATAATAGATGAAGTATAGAATTGAGAATGAAGTGAGAAAATATAAGAAATGAGAAATATAATGTACGAGTTATATAGATTTATGATTGAATAATGTAATAAGGAATTGAATTGAGAATGAGTAATTTAGATTGTAAAATGTAAAAGATACACTATAGAGTATTGGTATGAAAATAGGTTGAAATTAGGAGTATTTATAGAGTTAAAAATAAATAAAAAATCGACCCAACGGTCACAAAGAAGAGGTGACCTTTTCTTTAAAAAAGTGATCGTTTGGTCACTCTTGCCCACTAGCCTCTCAACCGAGCTGTGAACCGAGTCCCATTTGGCTCACCTTCTAAACTTAAGGTTCGATTTCGTGCTTGTACTTGTCTCCAACGAGTCCGAGCACAAAATTCAGCAAACGGTGTTTCATACTTACCACCTATATCACTTCTCAACATCTTAACTTTCTTGTTAAGTTGATTTTCAACTTCATTCTTATAGAGAATAAATTTCTCTATTGCTTTATTCTTAAAGCAAATACACATAACAGTATTTTGTGCTATCATCTACAAAAGTAATGAAGTACTTGTGGCCACCTCTTGTTTGTACAAATTTTAAATCACACATGTCACTGTGAATTAAATCAAGCGGTTCTGTATTCCGTTCAATTGATTTAAATGATGACCTTGTCAATTTTCCCTCAACACAAGTTTCGTACTTATGTTTGGAATCAATATGGAACGCGGGTATGCAATTCAAGTTAACTAATTTACGTAAAGTATCATATTTAACATGTCCTAGTCTACTATGTCACACATTGGAAGACTCAAGCAAGTAGTAGAAGAATTTACTTTATTCATTTTTTGTTTAACAAACATTACATTCAGTTTAAATATATCATTTTTGGTTTAACAACCATTACGTTTAGTTTAAACATACTATCGGAAACATAGTCTTTTCCGACAAACGTTCCAAGTGCGACCAAACGAACACAAAATTTAAAAATTTTTCGGGTGGAAAATTATACCAATCAAATACACTTAATTTCCAATTCCGTGCAAAACAATTTATAGGCAATTACTTTCCCAAAAAGTTATTTTCTTTTCTCTCATTTTCCACCCTTGCAATTAAACGGACTCTTAGATTTTTAGATGGAAACTTTAGAATTATTCTAATCAGTTGACTAAATTTCTCCTTATAATGCATATATCACTTTGTTTCGTGTTTCAGAAGACACGGTCTCACATTAATATCGAGGGCGTAAAAATCTTTTCTACTCCAAGAAAGCTCACTCGTTCACTTCAGGATCCAGATGGTATGATCTCAGACTTCTCCGAGAGACAAACTAGAAGGTTCGGAAGTCCATTCTCAAGTAAATTTGAGTGGACTCCTACATCAAGGCATGAACAAAATGACCTTGCTCAGGGCATAACTGTAACATCGAAAGAGGTGAAAACTTCTCTTCTGGATGGGAACAGTTTCATGGTAAATCAGAATCAGTATCCTCAACAGGAAACGTGCTTCATTCACAAGTGTCTCCAGAGGTAGTTTGTGGAAATCAAACAGAATCTCAGAGTGCCAATATTCAAAAAGGCTATAGAAAACTCGGTTGCGAAATAGTGGGATGTCTTCTTTTAGTCCTATTTGTAGTATTTTTATTTTTGCTGGGGTTTGATATCAGAACAATAGCTATGTTCTTGTTCCCACCTAACCTCTCTTGCTTAAATTAGTGATTTTATCAATTTCAAAAAACTTGGATGATAGCTTGAGATGCTACACACATGATTTATGTACTTTTAGCAACCAGAAGTGTTAAGTAAAGCTATTTCTCCTGATACATTAGGAGTCCTGTTTTTCAGTCTCTACTGGCCAATTTCAGTAGATGCTGCATATGTAAGAAAGCTAAAATTCAAGATATGTACTTCATGAGTCAATCTTGCATCTAGCTTATCTATAATTGTTTTTTATTGTTTGTTCCAAGGTGGATACTTGTTTTCTTGACATACACCTGTTTTATTAATGAAGACTCAGAAGGTAGAACTGAATGAATGATTGGAAACATTATGCAACAAAACAATCTAAATGGAGTGCTATCTTGCTGGGTGTGATGGATTTAGAATCAACTTTAATGACGACAAAATCCTCCAGTGGTCAAGGGCCACCAAGTTAGGAGCTTTAGCCTCTAAGTTGTCGTCTTAGAACTCCAGCTGTGAATTGATGTTGAGCACTGTATTGGTGATTATTAGATTTAATCCTACAGTTTGATATCTCATGAAAAATTGTGCAGAATTTCACATTTCAAGGTCTTTAGAATAAGTGGGTGGGAACTTAAATGAGAGAAAACATGTTACATCTGCACAGTTTGGAAGAATTTGCTTTCTCAGTTCAAAAAGTATTTGGCCATGCAGAAGATTCTCCGTTTGCATTTCAGAAATTGGGGTTGTGTATATGCTGTCCTCCTCTCCATTCACTTTGCGAGTCTAAGCTTATGGGTTGTAGCAGGGCGGCTTGGCCTAGGCATATATAAGAATATTTGCTGTACCATTTGTGTCTTGATCCAGGACTGAACATGTAAAGTTCATTGAACCCATCTCTTCTCATTACCACTGAGTTTCTTCTACCCTGTTCTTTCAAAGGGGACACGATTTAAAGATAGAAAATGGTTCTTTATATATTGTTACATGTAGGTATAATGTTGATCGTTTTTATATGCTATTTATATGGACAGATGGCATCGGTTCAAATATAGGAGGGCAGGATGTCCAATCTCCAAGTTACCCATCTTCCTTTTTGGGGTTCAGACAGTAAATCAATAAGAACGGGCCAAATGCGATGCCCCAAGATAGGAAAAAATTAAGACAGTAAGTCAGCAGAGTCAGAATTAAAAGAAAATAGGTTAAAATTTGCTTACCCGATCAATGACCGTGAATTTTCGAGGTGCACTGGTATAAATCCTGCTCATTTCGTCTGTCAAATGCTTGTAGTTGTCTTTTTCCTCACCCTCCCACTCTTCTATGTTTCTCGTTGTTCTTTTCAAGTCATCATCAGTGTTCTGTTTGAAAATAAGTTTGTTGAGTGCAGTATGGCCCCAGAATTTCTGGGAAACCTGATCGTTTCTCTTGCCAAAGTCGGGAGGAATAATGCTAAAATTTGCCAAAACTGGTGGCCTGTTAAAAAAATCTGATCCCGCTAGTCCCACTGCATAAGTTGCTTCTGGGGTGCTTACTGTCAGATGGCTTATGAGTGAACCCAGTAGGCATAGGGCTGAAGCGCTTGCATTTGAGACTAGAATCTCAGAGATTAAAACATTTCGTTGCAGATTTATGACATGTCTTACCTCAACATTGCCCTCGGAATTTCTGCTAATCAATACTACCTGCATTTCTCAATAAATGCATTTTCATTAATTTTATCTAATTTGATCTACATCAAATGTATCTATTGGCTCTCTTACTATATCTAAACTTTTGCTAATAAAACAAGTTAACAAACCTGAATTGATTCTTGAGGAGTTCCTTTAACTTGATGAAGGGCCCAAATATTTGGACACCATGAACCTCTATCGTTCTGGCAGTTGAAGGCTAGTGATATTCCTCCTTGAATGACAGCACCACCATTCTCCCCCTCCGAGACTCTTGTGTGCAGCAACTCCATTGTGCCTCCGTGCCACATTGGAACCTTTAATGAAGTGATTAAACCACTTGGCAGCATCACATTGGCCACGCTTCCATTCTCGAGCGCCATCTTAATGACACAACTATCGCTAATGCTCGAAAAAGTGACTCCGTCAATTCCGAATTCACTTGCCAAGCAATCCACATCTATAGGTGGAAATGAGAACGAAGCAACTGCTTGCAATGCCAAATCCCTTTTTCTACTGAATTTTTGCCTTGTAGCCGAGAAAAGATAAGGGCGTAAAAAAAAGTCTTTGGTTACCAGTTTTATGGTAGAAAGAGAGATGGATGTTGGAAAGGGGAAACAAGTGTAGACAATGTTCATCATCCACTTCCACTGTGAATTACTCTATTACCAGTCCTGTCCAACACCCGTTGATTCTATGCAATGAGATCTGTAAATGGACAAAATCAAGGAATCTGGATATGCCCTTTTATCTTCACTACTCACATCTACTTGATAATATTTGAATTGGTTGGTTCTAATTCAAACCTGAAAGATATTTTGGAGTACATTTATCTTTGTTGTTGTCCTCTAGCTTCACAAGTTTTAAGGACATTTTGAATTAGCCCATCTCTCTGCCTTGGAAGAACTTACGTGGAAATTACTCACATCCCTAGTTTTAAACTATACAATTCAAAATTCAGATTTAAAAGTTTTCTTTTAAAAAATCAGATATAAATCAAATTTTAAATATTAATAATAATATTATAAAAATTAAATTATTCTACATATTCAAGAGTTAAATGTTTCATTGGTTACCGTATTTTAAACATCGCCACGATTTACTCACTGAACTTTATCAAGCTTCCCAATGGTCACTGAACTTAGCTCCGTTGCACTAAAATGGCCATTGGATGGATAAAATTGTCCACAATTTAAGTGAGTTGCACACATGGATACCAAATCATACAGTAAAATCAAAAGCATGTTCTATTAACTCATATCGAAATATTAAAAACACCATCTCCACACAGAAAAAGAAAGAAACGGTAGCCCTAGCCTCAAATCCATTTCATTTTTGGCTAATTAGCACAAAATGTTCCTACCTTTGGGGTGAATTTCGGAAACCGTCCCTACCTTTCATTTCTTGGCATTTATGACCTTACCTTTGGGGTTTTGGTGCGCTGAACATCTTTTTCACTGTTTTTTGACGATTTTACCCTCCATTCAATTTAAACACAAAGAAAAGTAAAGAAAAACAATCCAATAAATTGTAACTATAGGCCCAAACTTTTTAAAAAGTGTAAATAACCCATTAAACTTCACATTCTTCCCAAAACTCACCCCCACCCTATCGTTGCCTGCCGGTCATTTTCAGGCCACCATGGCCGTCGGATTTTTACACCAACACCGTCTCCTCATCAACCCCTAATGTACCAACACAAATTCAAACCCCAAAATACATCAAACTAATCCAAAATTCGGCCAAAAAAACAACATTCACGCACGGTTTTCTTCCAATTTCGACCCAATCCATGGATGCCCATGTTAATTACACTCCACAGGTCCCTCAAGCTCACCTAGACGCATCCATTCATGTTCCAATTACATCAAATAACAAAGAAAATNAATTACCCGTAGAAGCAGAGGGTCTTTTTTTCAACCAATATTTGGTGTTTACCCATCTGTAATGGAATCGTCAGGCACAAATGGCAGAGGTACAGAAGATTTTGGAGTCAATGTCATTTATAGAAGATGAGGTTCAGGCACTTAGGAGAGAAAACTATGCTTTTGAACGTGAAATGGAGCTCGCTTCAACTGTCCAGGGACAATGTTCTAGTGGCATTTGGAAGTGGGTTGCTGGCTATATAAGGTTCCCAGGAACTGCTGAAGTTGCCCAAGTCAGTATCTTACTATTGTTGTGACCTTCGCACGCGAATGGTATGGAGACAGGACAGAGATGGGGTGGATGGTAGTGCTTGAAGGCTGTTTTTTGGCCGGATTTTGGTTCGATTTTGTTGTTTTTTTAGGTTGAAATTTGTGTAGGAATGTTAGTGGTTGATGAGGACATGGTGTTGGTGCAAATATTTGGTGGCCACGGTGGCCTGAAAATGGCCGGCATGCGGCGATAGGATGGGGGTGGGTTTTGGGAAGAATGTGAAGTTTAATAGATTATTTGCACTTTTTAAAAAGTTTGGGCCTATAGTTGCAATTTATTTGTCGGATTGTTTTTCTTTTCTTTGTGTCTAAATTGAATGGAGGGTAAAATCGGCAAAAAACAGTGAAAAGGATGTTCAGCGCACCAAAACCCCAAAGGTAAGGGCATAAATGTCAAGAAATGAAAGGTAGGGATGGTTTCCGAAATTCACCCAAAAGGTAGGGACGTTTTGTGCTAATTAGCCTTTCATTTTTCACATCCTGATTTCAGCTGCAAATTGGAAAACCCAAAATCAGGCTCAGAAGAACCCCTAACCCCAAATCCATTTAAAACATCCATTTTGAATCAGTTTATGGTAGGTGAAATTGGCAACCAATATCGCACACAGAAGGTCCACTTCCACTGAAGGTATTCCATGTTTGCGTTTAATTTTTATAAAACTGAAGGGCAATTGATTTTAAACTGCGCAATGGAAGCTCTGGAACTGTGAATTTAGCCATATCCAGAAGCTAAAGCTATCAAATTCCGCCATTGATGGCCGTGAAATCTTATGGGGTGTCTCTGTTCGATTCGCTTTTAAACGAGAAATTAATGCTTGATGACCTTAAAGATTGCCCAGAAATCATTCGTTGCTTTGGGAAAATCTAATGAAAATGGTGAGAAATTTGACAGAAAAGAGACACAGTGTCGAACTAATTTTTTTTCAGTATTACCATCAGAAATAATTGCATTCTCTGCTGTCTCCGCAAATTCATAAATTGCAGCCAAACACTACAGAGCTCTTATTGCAAATTCAACATTACATACCAAAACATTTACAACTAATGAACAATTTTTATCCCAAGTGTAACTAATTCAATAGCATTTCCAGAAAATAATTCTAATTAATGTAGACAAGAATTTAACTTCATTTCCGACATCTATGTGCACACATTCTCTAATGCAATAAAAAAACTCTCAACTCGTAAGTCAAATTTTGGGAGGCCATTGATGGAGGTTCAAAATTGATTTCGAGGTTAGGGTTTGTCTTTGCGATTATCGTTAGGGCTGTCCGTGGGTCGGTTCGGTTCGGTTCTGAAGATACCCGAACCGACCCAAAACTTTCGGGTATTTAATAAATGGACCCGTCGGGTCCAAATATAATTATGGAACCGTTAGGGTTC